GAATACATCGCTAATGATAGAGAATGTGTGTCTTAAATCTGTGATAATTCCTCCTTCCTCGGGAATTAATCACCAATGAAGAGGCCGATACACGATTCAACAAGCAAACGAGGCGTGTGGGGGGGGGGGGGGAGGAAGGAAGGAGGCAGTGGTGAAGATTGCAGTTTCTGGAATATTTGATGTAATTATTATCTGATATAATGACGATGGGGCGCTTCTGATCGGCTTTGAGAACCAGGAGAGAGAGAGAGAGAGAGAGAGAGAGAGAGAGAGAGAGAGAGAGAGAGAAGAGAGAGAGAGAGAGAGAGAGAGAGAGAGAGAGAGAGAGAGAGAGAGAGAGAGAGAGAGAGAGAGGAGAGAGAGAGAGAGAGAGAGAGAGAGAGAGAGAGACAGAGAGAGAGAGACAGAGAGAGAGACAGAGAGAGAGACAGAGAGAGAGACAGAGAGAGAGACAGAGAAAGAGAGAAGAGAGAGAGAGAGAAAGAGAGAGTGACAGAGAGAGAGAGAGAGAAAGAGAGAGAGAGAGAGAGAGAGAGAGAGAGAGAGAGAGACAGAGAGACAGAGAGAGAGAGAGAGAGAGAGAGAGAGAGAGAGAGAGAGAGACAGAGAGAGAGAGAGAGAGAGAGAGAGGAAAAAAAAGGGGCCTTGAAATCCAAAAAGCAATGCATAGTTTTGGCTAGACTGTGTGATAAAGAGATACATAACTCGCTTATTAATCGTATGAATTATTACTGTAATTATTCCTCTGATTGGAAGATATCCCGTTTCCATTATCCAAGAGCGATGCGAATTTTAGAAGAAAAATAAAAAAATTATCACGTTTTTTTTTTTGTTTTTGTTTTTTTTTTGAACGAGAAGTCGATGTCAAATACGGTGCTAGTTATATGAAAGAAAAAAACAATAAAATCAGGACAAGAAAAAAAGAGAGAAAGAATAAATAAAAGTAAAAACAAATAACAAATACAAAAATCGTCGAAAACATAATCTATCGACATGTCAGCATCTAACGAAACCTGTAGTTTGAGGAGGACGCGAAGACCCGAAAATTGTGGGGTTTGTCTGATAAATGGTGGATTATTCTCTCTCTCTCCCCATGCGTCATTCGAAATTATGGGTGATTGTTGACTGAGGAGGCGCGGGGGGGGGGGGGTACAGGGGGGAGGTTGTGGGAGGGGAGGGGATGGGAGGGAAGGGGAGGGAAGGGAAGGGAAGAAGGCCTTGGGAAAGGACGAATGGGAAAAGGAAGGGATCTGGGGGAAATAGTGAAGAGGAAAGGGAAAAGAGAGAGAGAGATAAGAGAAAGAGGAAAGAAAGAAAAAGTAAGTACAGAAGAGAGGCATAAAGAAAGTCTATAACAAATGAAAAACTAACAAACAAACAACATATATTGGTAAAACAAAACAAACAAAAAAAAGGAACAAGAGGTGCTAAAAACAAAGAATAACAAAAAAATATATATATGATACTGCTACGTGGGACAATTTGTGATGTAATTACTATATATGCACATAGTATTTTCTTCTACCCTTACCATAAGGTCTGTAATGGTATCCTGCTAAACTACGATGTAATCTTTCGTATACAATGGCACTAACATCTATCAAAACAATTGTAATCTCCATGTAACTTGAATCATGATATGTGATATACGAAATGACGCGATGAAAACGATATGCGCTGTAAACTTAAATATTCAGTATATTATATTTCGTTCCATTTTCTAATCCGCCCTTTTCTTTGGATTAAGGCGAAGGAGCGAAAAAAATTGCGGTTTAAGGATGATGAGAGGTTAGATCAGATCCTATTTTCTTCAATAAAGTGAGTGAAAAAAAGAAGAAAAAAGAAGAAAAGAGAAGGATAGAGAGAGAGAGAGAGAGGAGAGAGAGAGAGAGAGAGAGAGAGAGAGAGAGAGAGAGAGAGAGAGAGAGAGAGAGAGAGAGAGAGAGAGAGAGAGAGAGAGAGAGAGAGAGAGAGAGAGAGAGAGAGAGAGAGAGAGAGAGAAATCAAATAACTAAGGACGGTGTGCCTCTGATTTGCATATCCAGACTATCGGAATTCTTTACCTTTCTCTTCTTTTTCTTTTTTTTTACTTCTTTTACTTCTCTCTCTGTCTGTCTGTCTGTCTCTCTCTCTCTCTCTCTCTCTCCCTCTCTCTCTCTCTCTCTCTTTTTCTTTCTCTCTCTCTCTCTCTCTCTCTCTCTCTCTCTCTCTCTCTCTCTCTCTCTCTCTCTCTCTCTCTCTCTCTCTCTCTCTCTCTCCCTCTCTCTGCCTCTATCTTTTCTTTCCCTTCTTCCCTTTACCCCTTCCATCCCTCCTTATCTCTCTTCCTTTCCCTCTTTTCCTCTAGCCTTCCCCTTTTCTCTTTAATTGCACTCTATCTATTCCTATCACTACCATCCCCCCTCATCTTTCTTCTCTTCTACCAACCCCCCACGTTCTTCTCCTCCTCCTCTCCCCCTTCTTTCTATCCATCCGTCCATCCATCTACTTGTCTATCTCCATATCCCTCCCCCCCCCCCCATCAGCCTCCCACTTTTCCATCTCCCCCTCTTCCTTCCCTCCTTCCCTTCCTTATTCCATTCCTTCCCTCTCTACCTATCCGTCTCTCCCAATCTTCCACCTACCTTTTCCTATCCTCCTGGCCCCCCCTCCCTCTCCCCCCTCCCCTCCCCTACCCCTCTCCCCCCTCCCCTCCCCGCCCATCCTGGAGTGATCAGACGGGCGCCCTCTCTTCCCGCCCATTTGGAATCGTCGTCTAAATTTTCGGTGAAAGACCCACTCGACGGCGATCGCGGGCGAATGGGCGGGGCTTAAGGCCATTAGTGGGCGTGATAACAGAAGGCCTCGTCAACGCCATCGCCCGCGTGGGTGGAGTGTATAGGGAGAGGGGGAAGATTAGTGAGTGCGAAGGAGGGAGAGAGAGAGAGAGAGAGAGAGAGAGAGAGAGAGAGAGAGAGAGAGAGAGAGAGAGAGAGAGAGAGAGAGAGAGAGAGAGAGAGAGAGAGAGAGAGAGAGAAAGAGAAAGAGAGAAGAAGGTAAAATAAGAAGGGGGAGAGGGTGATGATGAGGGGTATTAATAAATACTAAAAGTTGATGGAAGTGATTCTGATGGTCATAGCGATTAGGATGATACTGATGATATTAGAAATGACGATAATATTGGTGGCGATGCTGATATGATCATACCAATATTGCCTGATAAGATGCCTAAGATGTTACCAAATATAATAACAACAACAACAAATAAAACAACATAAAAGATAATGATGATATCCAATAATAACCATGATAACAAAGGAAAATCGATAAAGATAGCATCCCACCTACCATCCAGGTCATGACGCCCCACATTCGGGAAAAAAGTAGACCCATATGCATGAACGTAATCATGCATCTCATTCAACACAGTTTCACGTTGTCAGTATCATCGAATAAAACAGCTCGGACGCCCACATGCAATGCAAGAGGGCCGTCATGCACAAAATACATTTATACAAGCGTGTGATTTCGAATCGCATTTGCAAACTGCAGTAATATTTCTGTGTCATGCAGGTGACAGTTGCGTGGATATCAGTTACAAATATGCTGCTGTGCATGATAAAGAGAATAAATAGAATTATAACAGATGCTATTTATCTTCCCATGTTATCTCGTATTTGTTTATTGATTTATTTAGTATTATCGTTATGATTATGGCATCATTATCATAATAAGTGCTATTATCATTTTTATTATTATTATTATTATTATTATTATTATTATTATTATAAAGAGAAAAAATTATTATTATTATTATTATTATTATTATTATTGTTACCATTATCAATGTTATCATTATATTTATTATCATTATTATCATTCTTATTGTTATTAGTATCATAATCATTGTTATTATTATTAGTATTATTATTGTTATTACTATTATTACCATTATTATTTTTTATCATAATTGTTATTACTATTATTATCATTATTATTTTTTATCACATTGTTATCATTATTTCTGATTAATATTTACACCATCATCATCATCATCATTATTATTATCATTATTATTATTATTGTTGTTGTTGTTGTTGCTGTTGTTGTTATGATTATAGTTATTATTATTATTATTATTATTATTATTATTATTATCATTATTGTCATTATTAATATTACTTTCATCTTCACCACTGTTACTGTTGTCAATATTATTATCGTCAGTATTATTATCATCATTATTATTGACATTATTATCATTGTTATTATTATATTTTCTATTATTGATATAATTATTATCATTACCATTATTATCATTATTATGATCTTCATCATCATCATTATTACTATCATCATTATCATTGATTTCATCAGCTTCATCATCATTATTATCATCATTATCATTATTATTATTAGTAGTAGTAGTAGTAGTATTACTACCATTATTATTATCATTATTATCATCATTATTACATCATTTAAGAGGATATCAGCAGTCGCAAATAATATGTTACTTGAATACACACTATACCAAATAATAACAAGGTAAATAGCGTCTTAATTAAGTAAATAAAATAAATGACAAATAAACTTTTATGACTGAAGTTCAATGACAGATTATTTTTTTAAGGCTGAAGCTCTATGACAAATTAAGTTGTATGGCTGAAGTCATATGACAAATCAAATTGCATGACTGAAATTCTATGACAAATAAATTTATATGACTGAAATTCTACGACAAAATCAAGTAGTACGAATGAAATTCTATGACAAAATCAAGTAGTATGAACGAAATTCTATGACAAATCAAGTAGTATGAACGAAATTCTATGACAAATCAAGTAGTACGAACGAAATTCTATGACAAATCAAGTAATATGAACGAAATTCTATGACAAATCAAGTAGTATGAACGAAATTCTATGACAAATCAAGTAGTATGAACGAAATTCTATGACAAATACCCATACGTGTTACAAATTCGAATACACTAATAACCGTTCTCTCTCTCTCTGCAG